CTGCCGGCCTCGGTACTCGCTCGACGGCGGCTCGCCGAACTTCGGCGCCGTCGAGATTTCGATGACGCGCGGTACGTCGCGTCGGCAGCGACGCATCGGCGCGTACCGCGGACTCGGCGCGACGACGCGCGCGCCGGCGTCGTGAAGCAGACCGGCGCCCGCCGCCATGCGCGGGGCGGTTCGTTCGTCAGCAGCAAGTAGTGGTGAGGGCGGGCGGGGCGGGCGGGGGTGCGGCGCCTCGGGGCGCGCGAGCAGCGGCAGGCCGTAGCGGAAGTAGCGGTCGCTGTAGACGACGGTGGCCAGGGCGCCGCCGCGGTCCTGCAGCGGGTTGAGCGCGGCGCGCGGGCGGCGCGAGCGGTCGCGGCGCGCCAGCAGGCGGCGCACGGCGGGCGCGCGGCGGCCCGGCGCCGGCTCGTACGGCTCGGCGTAGAGGCGGCGCGGCGAGGCGGCGCGCGGCGCGTGGCGCACACGGCGCGGCCGCACTCGCCCGCCGCGTCAGTCCGCCGCCAGAGGCCGCGCGCGGCGCGCCTCGTCGAGCGCGTGCAGCGCCTCCAGCACGCAGCCGGCGCTCCAGGCCTGCGTGCTGCACGAGTCGCGGCAGAAGGCGCCGCCCGCGTTGGTCAGCTCGGGCAGGCCGCGCCACGGCGACGAGCGCAGCTCCCTCACGTGCGGCGCCAGCGCGGCGTACGACGCCGCGATCGTCTTGGCGTACTTGCCGTTCTCCTGGGCGAAGGCCAGACGCGCCCGCAGGTAGAAGCCGATCGGCCACACCCACTCGGGGCCCTGATGGTAGTTGAACCCGTGGGCGACGTTGGGGTCGTCGCCGTTGTTCGAGTTGTCGTAGTCGCCGCGGTACGCCCAATCGGCCGGGTCGAGCGTCTTCATCCCCAGCGGGCCGAGCAGGAGCCGTTCGACGTTGTCGAGCGCGAGCCAGGCGTGCTTCGGGTCGAAGAGTTCGGGCGCGATGGCCATGGCGACGGGGAAGTTGCAGCGCAGCTGGTAGTCGGCCCAGGGGCGCGAGGCGCCGTGCGTGTCCTTGTAGATGGCGCGCCGATGCACCAGGTCGGGGCGCAGGTCGGCGGCGCCGGGCGCGGGCGGCACCCAGAAGAAGCGCTCGAAGTTGAGGCGGATGCGCTCGGCCCACTGCGCGTAGGTCCAGGCGGTGAGCGCGCCGTCGCGGTGGCGCCGCGCCACGCCCGGGTAGGGGAAGCGGCCGGCGCGGTGCTGCGCGGCCAGCCACGTGGCCACGCTGTGCGCGAGCGCCACCAGCTCCACGGCGCTGCCGTCGCGCGGCGTGGCGGGCCGGCCGCGGTTGCCCGCCGCCTCCGAAGAGCCCATCTTGTCCATCCACGTGCCGCAATTCGCGTCGTTCCCGCCGAAGGGAAAGCCCGTCTCGGGGTCGATTCCGATCTGGACGTTGAATCCCTTGTCCGACATGTGAGCGTCGATGGCGCGGCCGGCGTTGCGCTCGCGGAACACGAGGCCCTGAAACGGCGTCGGACGTGCTCAAAAGGCGAGTGGTCGCGTGGCAGCGACGGGGCAGAGGGAGGGCGGCGCGGACGCACCTGGAAGTGCACGTCGAGCGCCTCCTGCATGACGTCGTGCAGCGGCTGGTCGGCGGTGCCGGGCGGCGCGGGGTCGCAGTCGTCGCGCGGGAAGAGGCGCGCCACCGGCTCGCTCAGTAAGGAAGCACCCTGCGGCGCCTCGCTGCAGTACTGTGCAATGAACATTGTATATCCTTTTTAATTTGTTTTATTAAAATATTAAATTTTTCACCCTAAAATGAAAATTATTCTTTTACGAACACGAAAAATAATTGTTATATAATTTTTTCGTTAATTTTTGTTTATTGTCCATATTTTATGAAATAAAAACAAAATAATTAATCGATTAACAAATTAAAATTGAAAAAGATGTACCACTCAATAAAGTTTGAACTTGGGTCCACAGTAATTGTTCACCTACCATGGCGCTCGGACCAATAGGCTGCACGATGTCTACGAAAGGTGACAAAATTTCGATTCTAGTTATAATTGCTGTCGTTTCTCGATATAAGGAATTTTATCGATAAGTTTTTAAATATTTCATTGAGGAATTAATATAACGTAGTAAGTGTCTGGTATTGTTATCGGTCCTCCTATGATGAAATGTCCTGGGGTAAGTACTTGTATGTCTTCGATCATATCCACATCAGTAGATATCGGTGTCAAAGGACGCGAGTTCAGACAGGCTTCGATTTGTGTAAGCACTGTTGCAAATTCTTCGAATGTTAAGTTGTAAGTTAATGTTTTTCATAGGTGCTGTTTGACTGATTTAACACCAGCTTCCCAAAGGCCTCCGAAGTTCGGGCTGTATGGTGGTGTAAAACGCCACTGTGTGCAATCGTTTGCTAATTGATCTGCTATTTGTGCGGGGATTTCCAATCTAACCTATCTCCACATTTTAAATAATTCTTTGTTGGCTGCGACAAATTTGGTTCCGTTATCGCTCCAGATTTCATTACATCTTCCCCTTCTGGCAACGAAACGTTTGAATGCTGCTATGAAAGCATCAGATGTTAAATCGCTCACCAGTTCTAAGTGAATCGCCTTAACAGCCATGCAAATGAAGATACAGATATACGCCTTACTGGTTTTAGTTCCTCTCCCTTTACAATTCAGCACGTATACAGGACCAGCGAAGTCAACGCCGCTTCGAGAAAATGGACGCGCAGGAGTCAGCCGAGGACAAGGTAAGTCACCCATCATTTGTTTTCTACTAGTAGCACGTTGCCGGGCACAGGTAAGACATTTGTGTATGTATTTTTTCACCAGACTCTTGCAACCAACTATCCAGTATTTACTCATCAGGTAAGGAATAATGGAGATATAAAGACAAACATTGTCGCTGCAAGAAAAAGGGTTCCGGGTCGAAGGACCAAATTTTGTTTGTAATAAAGACGATTTTGCCTTGGGTTGTACTTTATAATTAAACACGTATGCTTTGCTCAACGATCTATTTGACACGGCAGTATACTACAGCTGCATATGCATTTACAGAAGCATCACAGAATCCATGCAGTGTAACATTATTTTTTCGGTATTTAAGGTCTCTAGCCATCGTTGTATTTTAACTCCATTTACATTTTTTAAATCTTCTCTTATACATTTCCATTTTTCTTTTAGTTCTTTCTTGATATCTTCGTCCCACCCAACTCCTTCTAGCCACAATTTCCGTACCAGTATTTTACCTCTAACAATGACTGGTGCTATCCATCCGAGTGGATCAAACAATTTTTGTAAATCAGACAATACGGTTCGTTTTGTTATAATTGTTGCTATTGGTTCTAATTGTAGTTGATAACAAAATTCATCTTCTCCGAAATTCCATATCAGTCCTAGGGCCTTGATAGTGCCATCTAATTTTAGGTCAAGATTGGCCTTTTTTGTAACTCTTTCAGCGTCTATTGATTCTAAAAATTTTGTGTCATTGGAAGCCCATTTCTGAAGTTCGAATCCTCCTCGTTTCAGAATTGTTATAATTTGCTTGCTCATAGGGATTGCTTGTTCGGATGTGTCACAGCCCGAGGTAAGTCTTCACGGATAACCTTGGCAGCCTCCAGATATTCTTTGCTTTCTTCATCCGCGAGTTTCATTAATGTTTTAACCGCAAGGTAAGGTGCACACGCTGTACCGAATGTGACTGTTTTTAATCTATAATCTTTTACATCAATTAGCTCGTGGCTAGTTCTATTTGCGGGGTTGCGACGCCAGAGTATTCTGTGGTAATCCATGTCCTTTTCATTTAAAAGAATCATCAGGTACATCTTTATGATGTCAATTGCAAAGCATACTTTGTGCATGCGCCATCGCATTATTATGCTTCTCATGTCTTCTTGTAACACCGGTCCGGTCATAAGCTCATCATTTAAAGACATCCCATTACTGCCCTTAGACGATGCATCAAAAACAACTCTAATTTTTGTTGTCTCTTTGTCTCTTCGAACCACGGCGTGATGTGGTAAATATACAGAACGGTTGTTTACTTCATTTTCTGGAACTTCTTCCATATGCCCCATTGATAAATATTCTTCCAATACATTATCATAATCTTCTTTCAAATCAGGTGTTTTCTGCAACCGTTTTTCTAGCTGAATTAGTCGGTTCGTTGCAATTTCTCTAGTATTTCCATCTGGCGTGAAATTTTCATTAGAGCGAAATGGTAGTCTCACTACGTATCTTCCATTACTATTTCTAATGTAAGTTTCTTCATAAAAACATCTAATTTCTTCCCTTGTTTGTTTTCGCTTTGTATCTTCATCTATCTCCCAAAGCGTCTTAAGAAAATCATTTGCTAAAATTTGATGTTGCATGACTAAGACTGACTCGTCTTGATGTGTTTCGTTTTCTACGTTTCCAAACAAAATCCAACCAAGGTTTGTTTTATGTTCGTTCAACTCATTTTGTACTATGTGTGCGTATACATCAACACCCAACAGCAAGTCGATTGATCCTGGCTTAAAGTAGTTTGGATCACAGTCAGACTTTCAACATACAAGTCAGAACATACGTTCTGACTTGGTGTATATTTTCCAAACACTTTACAATGGCTCAGTGTATGATTTTCACTGCACAGTTGATATTTTTTACAAGTTTCGATGCTAGTTGTAATGTGAAACGACCTTCCTCGCTGATTACCAAAATTTGACCTTTGTTTTGGTGGTTCTGTAAGCTCTAGTGTTCTAAAACGGCTTTCCAAAAATTTGCGAAACATCTCGAGTGAGGGTAGACTATCAGGGTCTTGACAGTTGTTACTAACATGTTCTTCCCAGCCTTTATGTGTCTCAGAATCTAATTTTTGCACTACTACAAATATTATCATCGGATCCCAATTTTAAGTACTCACATTCATATTCTTGAGATGATGTAAACATTCAAAAGTAGTATCTAGTAAATTTTTTATGAGAGATGAATTATTGACGGGTACATTTTTGCCGCTGAGAAAAAAGTCTTTTCATTACAGCATTAATGCTTATGCGTTTGTTACCGTATCGTCTTTTTAATATATCCCACGCCTGTTCATAATTAGAATCTGTCACCTGTATATGTTTTAAAATTGATGCAGCTTCTCCAGTAAGACTCATTTTTAAATAATGTAGTTTCTGCACATTATTTAGCGTCGTGTTTGTGTGCATAAGAGTATTGAATAAATCATGGAAAGATAACCATTCTTCATAATGTCCACTGTAAGTAGGTAATTGTATTTTAGGTAACAACGCGTGAGTTTGTTGACAGTCACTTGATATTGGTAACGAAGCACTTACACCAATTTGTTGAGACACTAATAAATCTTTAAGTTCAGTTTTCAAACTAATATATAGTTCTTCATGTTCATAAAACTCCTCCTTCGCGAAATACGGCATTTGATCTCTTTTTTCCCTCGATATGTTGCATATTATTTGATCGTAAGCTTGTTTATATTCACTCCAGTAGTCTTCTATGCAGTTTAGGCGAGATTCGACGTAATTTCGAGTCAATCTAGCTTTCGGGCATTTCTTCAGATTTACTTGTGTTTTCTTCATTGTATGTGCAATGCTTTCCACTTTAATCAACGCTTTTTCCACTTCCTTAGACATTATAACGACAAAATAACTTCAATCGCAACAAAGTAATGAATCTAATATGATTTTGAAATCTTCTAACTTGTACCCTTTTTTGTCGGACGGCCGGCGGAGCAGGTAGATTTGCTGATATCCGGCTCGAAGGACCAATTTTTTTATGCATGTGAAAGTATAATGAACTTTATTAATATTTGATCCTACATTTACACCTTTTAGTCAATTACTACACTCTGATTTGTTGCTTAATTACAACTATATGATAACATAACAGTATGAAAGTCTAGTGCAAAACAATGTTTAAAATATAAAATAAGAAAAATTAAATTATAAAAAGAAAGAAACACTCATTAAAACTAATCACTGGTAGACATCGGTAATGCACACAAATTAGAAACCGATCTTCTAATTAATTTGCCTTTATATTGTAAGTATTACTTATACTTATTAATTGTAAGTATTACTTAATTATATTGTAATAATTGAGCCGTGATAGCTCAGAGTCCGGGCGTTCGCCTTTAATTCAATATACTCGAGCAACCTGAGTTCGATCCCCGGTGCCGGCACCGATGAAGTTTTTAATTTTAAGTGCTGACTTATCACGTGCTCCGCGGTGAAGGAAAACATCGTGAGGAAACCTGCATATTTTCGAAATAATAACAAAAAAAAATATATTTCGAAAACATGTGAAGTCCGCCAATCCGCAGTGGGGCCGCGTGGTGGACTATGCCCTTATACCCTCTGTACAGAGGAGGCCTTTTCCCAGCAGTGGGACATGTATAGGCTGTTACTTTACTTTCTTTTTATATTGTAAGGTATACACTCGCGTTATATTATCTTGTCCAGGATGCTTTTCAATTATCTGTGCCAGTGCCCACTTGCTGGGAGGCATATTTTCATCTTTAAGCAATACTATGTCACCGATGTTGAACTCTGGTGTTCTTTTCAGCCATTTAGGTCGCTGATTGAGTCTGGACAAATATTCAGTCTGCCAGCGTTTCCAAAAGGCTTGAACCAGTCTCTGGGTATGTTGCCATCTAGATAACAGTAAGTCTTTAACATTTAAAGGATAAATTAAAGATATATAGTTTAAGAAAATATGTAATAAAAAAGTCGTATTCGTAATTTCTGCACTGGAGACTATGAAATTGCTTTAAATTTTTATGAGCTATTACTTTAAATCAAAATAAATAGTTATTCGTTTATTTATAGTTTTGTTGTACGAAATGTCATTTGCCTTTATTAATTTATTTGACCTTAAGATGTATTTTTAATCAATTCTAATTCGTTTCCTGATAATTTAAAATAATTAATAGGAAGTTTTTCTAAAATTGTTGATTGCTTTCTCATACTTTATATTTGTTTGTTTATTACTATTCCTACAATAATATAAGAGTAAAATACAATCATGGTCTATAAAAGATATCATAGGGATCATCTGTGTACATTTTCGATAGCCTTCCATGATACTATCGATAGTATCCTACTGCCCATCACTACACACTGCATTCATTGTTATTATTTTTTTCGTAGATGTTTATTAAATAATTTTTAAGTTAAAATTTTCTATTTCACATAATTTGAATAGCGTAGTGGGTAGTGTACCTGCCTCCTGCGCCCGAGGGTGTGGGTTCGATCCCCACTACTGGAAAAATATTGTGTGATGAACATGGTGTTTTTCTAGTGTCTGGGTGTTTCTATATGTATAATATGTATTTATTTACAAAAGAAAAGTATGTTTGAGTATGTTTATCAGTTTTCTAGTACCCATAGTACAAGTTTTGCTTAGTTTGGGACTAGAAAATATTGTGTACAAATGTGTCCTAAATATTTAAATTTATTTACTTGTATATTATTTACATGTTGAGAGCATTATTTATGTGTACATGATGTGTTCGCTTATAGTGGAATATTCACTTATGAAATATATATTTTTAAACTTGTATTTATAGAAAATGTTCAAGTGTAATGTTCTGTTTGGGATCCGAAATAAATAAAAAACATCTAAATACCGCAACGGCGGTTTTCTTTGCTTGCTATGGCGGACTATTCAAGACCTCACGACTATGATTCACCTGTTTTATACTCTGCAGCCACCACCAAACGGCGTCGCGGCAATTGTAGCGCGCGTTGCGTCCGCCATCCAGCAAGTTGGGTATGAGACCATGCCTCAGGCATGACCCGTATGCGAGTATGTGGGCACGGGCATCCTGAAATCAAATATGTCGTCCAGAAATTTTATAGCAGTATTAATGAAAATCGTTTTAATAACAAAAAAATTCTAAAACCATCCGGAGAAAACAAGTAATAATCAGTACAATATTTCTAAATGCACTCTGGATTTCAAAATGTTTAGATAAAACTGTCGCAAAATTTTAATCGCTGTCAGAAGTCGATTGCGGGGAGAATATCGACCGCTATAGCTTCGTGGATTTATTGTGAAGTATGGGCACGCGTAATTCAGAAGGCGTAGGTTCGAATCCTCGCAGGGGTGAACATTTTGCGACAGTTTTATCTAAAATTTTTGAGTGCCAAGACTAGCACTGAACATTTAAAATGAAAGGACCCAAGATATGCTTCAGATTTTACATCATGAATTATGATAAATAGAAGTAAAATTAGAACACCTGTTAATTCAATACGATTTTTAAAGGAAATTAAGTAACAGCTTATACATTGGCTTTACAATGAGCCGCGATAGCTCAGTGTCCGGGCGTTCGCCTTTAATTCAATATACTCGAGCAACCCGAGTTCGATCCCCGGTGCCGGCACCAATGAAGTTTTTAACTTTAAGTGCTGACTTATCACGTGCTCCGCGGTGAAGGAAATCTCGTGAGGAAATCTGCATATTTTTGAAATAATAACAAAAAAAAATATATTTCGAAGATATGTGAAATCCGCCAATCCGCAGTGGGGCTGCGTGGTGGACTATGCTCTGATATCCTCTCTATAGAGGAGGCCTTTGCCCAGCAGTGGGACATGTATAGGCTGTTACTTTTATACATAATACGGGTACTGTGTCGAGCAGAGCAGAGTATATAGGCGATCGAAACCTGGAAGCGGCCCGTGAGCAGGAAGAGGCCGCGCAGCGCGATGAAGGTGTCGCGGCCCCAGCAGCGCATGTAGCCGACGGCGAAGTGCGGCAGGCCGGCCGAGAGCGAGGCGCGCGCCCCGCCCGGCAGCGGCGCCGAGCGCACGCAGCCCGTCAGCTGCACGCCGGCCAGCGCCAGCTGGCGAGCGGTCGCGGCGCCGCGCGCCCAGCCCGCCATGCGCGAGAGCGCGGCGCGCACCACCGCCGCGTGCAGCGCGCGCAGCGCCCGCTCGAAGTAGGCGGGCACCAGGAAGCGCGGCAGCTCGCACAGCGGCCGCAGCGCGTCGCGGAAGCGCGCCGCCACGGCGGCCAGGCGCGGCTCCGCCTCGAGGCGCCGCCACTGGTACTCCACGAGCCAGTCGCCCGCGCGCAGGTTGTCGCACAGCGCGTGGCCCAGCTCGCCGCGCGCGCTCACCTCGTCGAGCAGCGAGAGCGCGCCCTGCAGGCCCGCGTAGACGAGCGGGCCGTGGCCCGGCACGTCGTAGACGCCGCCGCCGGCGCGCTCGCGCTCCTCGGCGTCGCAGCAGTAGAGCAGCGCGCGGAAGTCGGCCAGGTCGAGCGGGCGCAGCGGCGGCGCCAGGTCGGGCGGCGCGCGCAGCGCCACGAGCGCGGCCCGCTGCGGCGCGCGCGGCGCCACGCGCAGCGCCACCACGCCGCCCGGCGCCAGCCCGCCCCACTCCAGCACGGTGTGCGCGCCCTCGCGCCGCTCGGCCGCGAACGCGCCCGACTGCGCCAGCGCCACGCGCCGCGCCACGCTCACCTCGTACTCGCTCAGCCCGTTGATGTACTGCGCGTGCTTCGCGAACGAGCCGGGCTGCCGGTAGGGCTGGCCGCTGCTCCTGGCGGTGGGCCGGGGCGGGGTTAGTCCGGCCTCGGCCGCCACGTGGCGCGGCGCCGCGCGGCGTGAGGCGAGTTGCGTACCTGTAGTCGGCGTGCCGAATTTGGGCCTCCAGGATGATCTCTTCCAGCTGCCCCTCGAAACGCAACGGCTTGACGTAGCGACCGCCAAATGAAGGATCGGGCGCATTGAAAGCCGTGAACGCCACTAAAATAACCGACTGCAATTAAATAATCATTTCGTTTATAAACATTCCATGTTCAAGTAATATAATTACTTACAGTTATAGTCGTATAACAGTGAACTGCGGTGTAACTTTGAACAATATTGTGAAAAGATTAATTAATTTATTACACGAAAACTATGTTTTATATCAATAGCGTAACTGCGTAAAACGATCTAAAAGAAAAACGAAAACGAAAAGTCAAAAAAAAACTTTTAATGCAATATTACTCATTTAAACGTTAATTTGGATGTAGTACAAATAAAACATCATTTTCATCATACAAAATCCTTTGAACTACTTGGGACAACTATTTGTGCGACCCGCAGATAGTTGTTTCGAATCTGGGTGTTTGTCCATGTGAAATTTATGTTTGTAAAACGTCCTTACAACACAGGATAATGTTATCCTAAAGTGAGGGCAGCGTTTTAAAGAAAATAAAAAAAAATTTAAAAAAAATAATTATTGTAAGCTCACCTTTCTAGAACGTGGATCATGTCTGGTCACCGCAATAACATCAGCGTCCATTTGATCCACGTATATCTGGATAATATCAAATAACGGTGGTTAAAACATTCCAATAGAATTTATTAAATTTGACGAAAATAACCCCATTTCTAGAATGTGATCCTTGTAAAACTAATTTACAACCAGAATTTTTTGAGTCGGTATACATATTTCATCAGAAGCTGAGTGCATTCAAACGAAGTATTCAAGGCACATATTGTTTTTTTTTTATTTTTCTTTTATAATTAGTTATTTTTCAATAGATTTCTCTTTTGTTTGAAAATTTATAAATTAATATTGTTTAATGATATCGAAGTATGTAGTGTGGCGGACATTGCCCTTCCATTTTGTTTATTGTTAAGGTTATTGTACTGTTTGCTGTTCTGTGTTCTAAATAAAATAAAATAGAAATGAGACCGTCCGCACCTCGTCGTAGCCGTCGGCGGCGAGCTGGCGGTGCAGCTCGTTGAGGGCGCGGCGCGCCGCCATGAGCCCGCTGCGCGCGCCCACCCGCCCCTCGCCCTCCGCCCCCGCCGCCCCCTCCGCCGCCCCCTCCGCCGCCCCCTCAGCCGCCCCCTCCGCCCACTCGCAGTAGAGCCGCGTCTCGTCCACCACGTGCACCTGCGCGCACGGCTCGCTCTTACTCCGTCCCGCTCCAACTCCAAAGCCTAGCACCCGCTCCACCACGGGCGGACACTCACGTGGTGCGGCACCAGCTCGTCGTAGCCCCTGGTGCTGCCGGTGGCGCAGCACGCCATCGCCACCAGAGCCGCCGACGGCAGCATGTCGAACACGCTTCTACACGCCGCATATATTGAACGATCGGTATTTGTCACCGTTTACACCAATATTTGTATATGTTACACTTTTCTTTCATAATTTATTCTGCATCACTGCATCATTAAATGTAGACTGATTTCATCAAGAAAATATTCCTACGTCGTCGCGACTTCATAAGAGTTTAAAAAATATTAAGTTTAAATAGTGTTTGAGCGCTCTGACGGATGAGGAGTGAAGCGCGGCGCGTGTGGGAGCGTGCCGTACCGCTTCTGCATCGGCGAGGGGTTGTCGTGCGTGAGGTCGAGCAGCAGCGCGTGCGCGAGGCGCGGCGCGGCGCGGCCGGTGCGCGCGCGCAGGAACGAGCCCACGGCGCGGCCGCCGAACCGGTGCAGCAGCCGGCCCTGCTCGCGCGCGTCCCACGCGCTCAGCGCCTCTGCAACACACCGCAACGTCGAGGGGCGCTCTCCTTCCCCTCGCCCGCCCCTCGCCCGCACACCCACCGCGCACGAGCGACGTGATGCCGAGCCGGTTCACGAAGATGTTGTCCACGTGGTCGGAGTTGGTGAACAGCTCCGCCACCACGTACAGGTCGGGCTTGACGTTGCGCGCGCAGTCCAGCATGTACTCGGCCACCTGCGGACGCGAGCGGTTCAGTGGCGGGGCGCGACGCGTCCGCGGACGGGGTCGGTTATACGCACGTGCAGCGGTGTGGAGTGGCAGTTGTCGAGGCGCAGGCCGTCGAACACCTCGGCCGTGAGCTCGACGTACTCGCGCATGTGCGCCCACAGGAAGGGGCTGTCCTCGGGCCTGTCGCCGTACCTGCGGCAGGCGCTCGGTGAGCTCGGGGGCTCGGGGGGCTCGGGGAGCTCGGGGAGCTCGCGCGCATGAACTCGGGCCCACCTGAGCTTGACGCTGTCGCCCCAGGCGATGAGCTCCCTGCGCAGGTAGACGCGGCCGTGGGCCGAGGCCGCCGCGAAGTCCTGCAGCGGGTCGGCGTCCATGATCCAGCCGTTGTGCGCCATCACGAAGCGCCCCGCCTCCGAGTACACGAGCGCCTCCACCTCGGCCAGCGAGCCCACCGCGCCCGGAAACGTGAAGTACCTGCGCCGACCCGGCCGTTAACACCTCGTCACGCGAAAATCTTAACATTTACTTACCGGATTCAAAAATCAAAATCAAAATCATTTATTCATCGACATAAGAAACTTACATTTCATTTATCAATAGTCATATTTTTTTTTTAAATCTACCACCGTTTGGTAATGAGGTTTTTCTAGCGGAGAAGAAACAGGCGAAAGAAACTCCGTAGGTATCCTCTTTTTTGTAATTCATTTTTTTTTCTTAACAAAAAAATTAAAATATTATAGAACTGAAATTTGTCTTAAATTTTTTCTTAAATTAACATTTTGTGCTTCATATTGAGTGGACAGCTACTATTAAAAATAAAATTTATCACAAATGACACAACAAATCATACATCAATTTTTTTTATACGACGGACCCATCAAAATATATTTCGTATAGAAATTCGTAATATATTTCGTTTTAGATTGTATATTAAGGACGTGTTTACGAAATCTCGGGGAATCTGAAAAAATACGCAGTTTTGAGGTGCATTTTGCGGCAAAACGAAACTAAACTAAATGTACGTAATAATTATCACATATAGATTCCTCCTTCATCTTCAAAAGGTAGCTATATTTTAATCGAAAATGTTGGTTTATAATATTGTTAATGAGAATTTTCGCTGTCACATCACTCAAAATGGACGATATCCAGTTTTCTCTTATTTAATAACATATTTTTTTATTTAATATAAACAGACATGTTCAACGCAAAAAGTAGCTAAAATGAGTATCAAAATGTTTGGAATAGCCTCAGAAAAAAATAAACATTAAAGACAGAAAGTTTAGTGATTTGAGATAAAGGTTTCTTTCACATTTAGATCTTACTTGTGAATCGCTCTTAGTGATTGAGATAAAGGTTATTTTGACATAAACATTTGCTGATGAGACAGCAATGTATCCATGGACAATTCACCAGACATTGCAGCACAAAAGCTTCAAAACAGTCTCGATCAATTATCCAAATGGCTCAAAGACTGGCGAATCAAAGCCAACCAAATCCGTCCAAGTTACTTTTACAAACAGGAAAGAAACATGTCCACCCGTCACTCTAAATGGCATACCTCTACCCCAAGAGGATCACGTCAAATATCTTGGAATATACTTAGATAGACGCCTAACCTGGAAAAAGCATATTTTCAAAAAGCTATTAGCTATGGGCCAACAGTTACGTACTATGTACTGGCTATTTAATAAAAAATCATGACTCTCACTACAAAACAAGCTATTGCTATATAAATGCATAATAAAACCTAAAATATGGCCTAAAACTCTGGGGAACAGCAGCAAAATCCAACATTGAAATTATACAGAGATTCCAGACAAAGATATTAAGAATAATAACGAACGCACCTTGGTATATCTCTAACATTAGACTCCATCACGACCTCTGCGTCAAAAGCGTTATAGAAGAAATCTCCGAAAGAATTAAAGCGTACAAGAAGCGAATCACTAATCATCCAAATATGCTGGCAGTCAATCTAATGAACACCCAAACAGTGGCTCGTAGACTAAAGAGAATGATTCCCCAAGACCTTGTCTGAAAGGCACATGAATCAAAGGACTGCTATCGTGCAAGCCCTTCTCATTTTATACATATTGCTGAATATCTGCAAATTGATAGATTGCAATAGGGAGAAAAAAAAAGATAATTAAATTAATTTGAGATTGTAAAAGTTATGCAATTCAATTTAAGTACAAAGTCCAATCAGGAAGGTAATTTTAAATCTAAGTCACCGCCAGCAGAGAAAATCTGGCCAAGTGTAGTGGGTACATCCACCCTGTTAGGGGTAGGTAGGACCTCCTGCCAACAAACACTACATGGTAGAACTGACAAAGGCAGGGATATGAATCTACCTAAAATTATAAAGATGTGAAACGCTTACCAACTGGAGGTAAAAACACAATTTAATCGAGCAGCAGCTCAGACCAGCTTGCCAGCCCTACGCCTTCAGCATCCATCTGTCATATTCGAAAAACCACTCTTAGATACACGAGACAATAAAATTGTCATCTTACCTTCACGTGAGAATTCTAAAAACATTCTCAATGCAAGTCTTTTACAATTTGAGTACAGAACCAGTGAAAATTACAAAAGTATCTTACTACGAGGGATAACAAATCCAGCACAGAGTTTCCTAGACAGGAATCACACAGATAATACGACCAGGAACGTGTTCTGATTTCAACCTCTAGCCATGCACTGTAAAAAAGCGAATTGATAAGAAAACGAAATACGTAAACAAAACAACCACTGGCATGAACGAAACCAACCAATTTCTTACCAGTCGAAGATGTCAATTCGAACCGGCGGCAGTCTCAAATGACAAGAACGAGCAAATTAACTTAACTTTTTCATTCAGGCTAAGGTTTATAGACCATGCAGCCTAGTCTTCAGAAAAACAACAATTTAGACAAAGTGATGAAATCACCCGTTACACTGCTCTGGAAGTAATAGACGAGAAGAGCTATGTGTGTTGAGTTTGGGCTTGTTTTGTTAGGTATGTTGAGACCTTGGATTCTGACTTGATGGAGTGACGTGAGGGTTTACTTTGAAGACTGCTACTGGAACTAATAGACGAGAAGAGCTATATGTGTCGAGTTTTGGCTTGTTTAGTTAGTTATGTTAAGACCTTGCCTTTTGACTTGATGGAGTGACGTGAAGGTGTAAGAATACAGTACAAAAGTTATTTAAAATATGGAACGATGTATTCAACATCAATTCCGTACTGAAACATGTTAATATTTAAAGCATAATTAGCTCTAATTAATTCAATTATATTTGAAGTTAAGATTATAATGAGTTAATAGAGTATAAATATAAGTGAAAGTAAATCATAAGTCAAAGTAATGAATTTTTAAAATAATAAAAATTCTAGATTACATATAATAGTCATGATAAAATATTTTAAATGCCTAATTTGACAGTGTACAGATTTGATGTAGATATTCTTGAATACTTTAGAAACAATTATTTAAATACTCCGGGAGGTCTATGAACCGATCTGGTACTTTATTATAAATTCTTATTGCCATGCACCCAAATGCTGGCCAAAAGTACACCACTTGTAGAAAAGTTGTATGAATAATTAAAAATACAAGTAATACAAAACAAATTTGCTGCAAATTGCAATATTAGGAATGTCTAAAAGGTATTTTTTTGTATATTTCAATGAATAGGTGTAATAAACACGTAGTACTTCAAAAGTTTTGAACGACAGCCAGGTGGTAGACTTATTGTTTTACGTTTATGATCTGCTTTTCATTTATTATTTTGTTGTTTCGCACTGACCAACTTTTATGATCATGGCTTCTGCCTAAACTAATACTTCATTTTTTAATGACTTGCAATCTTTTGAAATAAATGGTATCTACAGTAAAAACGTCTTTAAAATAGGACAAACACGAAAAAAATTAGTTATGTAAAAATGTAGTGGCTCTTAACTTAATTTATCAATGACTTATGTTCATGGCACAATAATCACATACACCGATTATCCCTCTTATAACTCAACTGTTGTTTTAGATGCTAAAGCCTAAAACGGTAAAATTTTACCAGGCTACTACTTCGATATAGCAAACAAAAAAAAATGATAGAGAACTAAAAAAATCAGAACTACAAAAATCAAAAAGTTCCGACACCGAGCACCCCGACTCCGTGTGGTCTTGTCTTCCCTATCCCTGGAGTGAACATAAAAAGGCGGAGCCAGAACCTCGCGTCGGAGGTATAAAATTGTAGGTAAAAAATAAATTACTGCAAATTAAGTAAAAGTATCAAGTTGCGTCAGTTACATAAAATTTCGCCGCTTCGCGCTTGTCGCTGTGCGTGAGCCGTGCACGTGTAGTAGTACGCCTCTGTACCTAAAATTTAAGCGCGTCAATTCGTAAACGCGTCCTTAAAAAGAAGACAAACTGATTACTAAAGTCTATTTTCATAAATTCACGGCAGCATATTGTATACAAGTGGTGTTTTAGGACTATGAAAGTGAGTCGTATCTCACCTAGGCACCAGGGGATGTTTCTCGCTGACTTCCTCGATCTTCGGACCATCCGGCTGCAGTCGATAGTACCTGTAGAGGACGCAGAGAGTGATGATGTCTACAATAGCGAGCTGCAGAAGGCGCGATTTGGGGTAAATGCATCACCGCATGGCGGCCAGGCAGTTGTCGAGGGCGGCGCGCAGGTGGCCGCGCAGCTCCTCCTCCGCGGCCGCGTTGAGCTGCCTCAGCCGCCGCGCGAACTCCTCGCAGCTGCGCTTCAGCCGCGCCTCTTCGTCGCCGCACTCCGCCCTGCGCCCCCCCAACGGTATGTTCACCGATTTACTCCATTTTGCTTATTTATAACAATAAAAATTAAATCTTTCACGTCTATACCCGTACATGTAGAAAAATAATGTCAATTACAATAACAATCTGGACATAAACGCTTGGCAACGACCAACGATCCGAAACAGTAGAAGGTGGCGCACCGGTAGACGTTGTAGAGGCGCAGCGCCAGGTCCAGGTCGACGGTGGCCTGCAGGCGCCGGAACTGCGGGTCGGGCTGCAGCTGCAGCTGCGCCTCGGCCGGCGCCACGGCCGGCACCCTGTTGCGCGCCAGCCGGTAGAACTGCTGCACCAGCTCCTCCACGTTGCACGTGAACAGCTCGTGCAGCCGCGCCTCCGGCAGCCGCTGCGTCTCCAGCACGTGGATGACCCCCTGCGGCGCGAAGCGGGTACGACGTGGCAATGCCGAGCGACTACTGGAGTCCACACTAGTAGGGCGCCTACCGACCTCGACGTGGTCCGGCTGCGAGAGGCGGCCGGGCGCCAGGTCGGCGCCGAGGCGCGCCAGCACGGCGTCGAGCAGCGCGGCGGGCCTGAGGTGCGGGCAGTTGAGGCAGTTGTACGTGGCCTCGGGGTGCTGCGCCAGCCACGGCGTCTCGTTCGCCGTGTGGTTCAGCACCACGTCGCAGATCGACATCATCTGCCGCACGGGCCACCACACGACCGTCACTCACTCATCGCGCATCATACGACGTAAACGGTTATAGCGCTAACTAGTAACTGTATAGTGGTAACGATAGAACACTTAGCGTTTAAAATTCGGCTGTGAAAGAAAGAAATACGTACCCCCCATTCGGTTCGCATTTTGGCGACGAGGTTCTCAACGTCGGCGAAGGTGGCCTCGCGGGCGCCGTCGCCGCTGTAGCGAGGGTCGAGGCGCAGCTGGTTGGCGATGCTGTAGCTGGAGTTGGACGCGCCCAGTTCCTGTACACGTGTGCGCGGAAATCATTTTGTTTGGTTTGCTTCATATTTTATCTGGTGATCTTTGTATTCGATGCGTTTACACAAAACTTAAAAAATACCGCCAAACTGGTTGATGGAAAGGCTTTTTAAGTGTAATTTTTCTTCTTTATAACACGTTAGAACGAACATATAAAAACTGGCCACTGCCTGAGTATCATCCCAAATGACGGTAAGTGTCGAAGTAAACGCACGTACATCTATCCTCTCTATCTGCGCTTATCCCACACTATGTGGGGTCGGCACAACATGTCCTTGCTTTCCGCTCTCCTCTAACAGCCGTCATCTCTATACTGACCCCTTTCACAGACATATCATTCTTCACACACCAAATGTAATGAACCATTAAATGATCATCACCGTCCTTGACCATCGGCATCGTTGGGTGAAACGCAAGACTGGAGGAGGCCTACCTGCACGGGCGTGAAGTGCAGCAGGTTGTAGCCGGCCTCCTTGGCGGGGCGCAGCGCGCGCTCCCAGCGCGGCAGCGGCCCGAGGCACTTGGCCAGCACGGTCTGGCACATGACGGCGTCCGCCGCCAGCACTTGCCCGCCCGCGCGCAGCGTCGGCTCCACGTGGAACCAGCCCGAGCCCTAGCATGGGCGCGATCGATTGACGCATGATCAGCACTTTTGAAAGAGAAACCTTTTCGGTACCGTTTTACATGCAACGACGAATAACTAGAAATACGGCCCTGTGAAAGAGGCACCGAGCGTGCTAGAAGTGAAAATAAGAAAAAGAAAGTGAACAAAAGGAAAAGTTTATGAAGTAAAAAAGAATGGAAGAGGTCAAGATGTACATGTAGAAGACATCAAAAGGACCATCGCACTTGTGGAAGAGTGGAAGTAAAGAGAAGTTTAAATATCGGCCATTTACTTCAATCCCCCAACCCGTAGCTAGGAGAAATATAAACAATCGTAATAATATATTCAATTCAAATGACCCAGAGAAATCTGTTACGTTAAACGTAATAAGTTGTGATAAGAATTAATAAGTTATAAAATCAAAAATTCATCAAAAGTTGCGATAACTTTTGCACTCACTTTTGGACTGTCGATATTTAAAAAAAAATCTTCATCGTGTGTAATAAATGCCAGAAATAATAACACGTAATATGTGGATCTTATGAAAAGACACCTATTTCGTTTCGTACAAGTTCCGATTAAAAGTGATACACATAATGACCTGCGGCCCGAGGCGCGACTCTGCGCTGTCGTAGACGAAGTAGAAGTGGTAGCAGCCGGCGCGCGCGAGCCGCAGCGAGCAGCACACGTCCGTGTCGGTGACGAGCAGCCCGGTGCCGAGTGGCTCGCCCTCCTCCCCGCCCCCGCCCCCGCCCTCGCCCTCGCCCTCGCCCCCCACCTCCCCCTGCCCGTCGCGCCTCCACTCCAGCCCGTAGTACTGGTTGCGGACGAACTCCGCCTGATCGCATTTCTCGTCTTCTACGCATATAAACCATCATTATTAATAGATTTTATGTCGTTGTTATTTTGCCCACTGCACCGACACTTACGACTGTCCGTTATCACGTAATTCGTGTACAAGAACACCTTCCGCCCGAGAAGGCTCGGCCCAGGGCAGAAGTGTAGATAGCATCCTTTTTCAAACCTACAAATGAAACATTTCTTTTATTATACAGACTCACCAACGAGTAATTAAAACTTGGTAAATGAATTACAAATTCACATGGTATAATGAGCACTCATTAAAAGCTTATTAGCTTTTATGTACAAACTACATATTCTCTAATTTAAATTCATTAAATATTACAAGATGTAGATATATTTCGTTTTTATATGAAATCATGGTTTTTGCACCGTTTCCAATTCATAAGTAGATATGCAATGATATTATATACAAATAAGGGGTAGATATGACACTAGCGCACCGAAAGTGAGGTACTCAAATTACACCTATTGGTGTAATTAGATTGCAATTCTATGGACTGCCATCTCCTTCCGTACCATACGTTCTATATCATCTGTCACATTCACTTATACAGCGTGTCGTTACCATCGCGACAACAAATGAACACACATATAGGGGATAAGTTTTTAAAGTTGTATTAAACATTTAAATTTTTTAAACATCAATATTTACAGAGTTATTAAATTATCCAAAACAAAGAATTTTAGAACAACCTTACCTATAAAAGCGTAACGTAAAGTTCATTTGTAAAGGTCACAAAGCATATGAATGGGTTGAATGAATTTAAAAGAGACAAAACATACTGTTAGAAGGAGAGGTTTGTAATACGACTCTGTGGCGCGAGTTGTATAGGATGTTACAAATTTTGTTTCTTTTTTACTTAATTAGTTTGTTTGAAAAATATTTTTTTTTTATTATGGATTTTGTTTAACGTTAATATTTTTTTTGAATTATTGGCACGTAGCGTTAGACGTGTGTTCATTTATTGTCGCGATGGTAACGACACGCTGTATATGTCATTAATGTAAAGCTGAACAATTTTTAAACGCCACGCAGTATGGACATGCGTTATTACACTCGGCTGCTTTGATCTGTTCAAAGATTTTAAGGTCATTAGCGAATAATTGGACTTTGGTATATTTTATGCACTAGACTGTTATCAAGAAAAATTAGGAAGAGAACAGGACCGAGATGTAAGCAAGCTTTGCACGCCAAAATCCGCAATATAGGGGAAAAGTAAAACCACTTGTTTACGTTGCAAGTGGTAAGATTTAAGAACCGACTTTGGTATTGAATGCCAAGAAGGCCTAACTTATTTAGGAAGGTTTTATGGTAAACTTAGGCACTAACATAGCTAATTTTCTGTGTTCCACTTGACTTCGAGAATGTTTTGTAAGGGAAACGTCGTTAAGTAATGTGAGAGATATTGTGACAGTTCACATTCCTTTGATAAATCCGTGCTGTTCAGAACTTGATTCTGGTGTGCCATATGAGTAACGGACTAACAATTGATTCAAAAACTTTGAGAAGGAAGACAAAATGGAAATAGGGCGATAGGTGTTTACATCAGATGCGACGACTTTCTCAAAAATAGGAACCATGCTTGCTCCTTTCCAAGGATTGAAGAAAGTCAACGTCTTAAGGGACTGGTTATATAAAAGCAGGGACACAGAAGATGCAGTTCTTTTGATCAGTATAAACGGGAGGCCATCAGAACTAAGAACTAACTTACTCGTATTAACTATCAAGTTTTTCTTAAATGATTCACTAAATCTAGTTTGTTCACTTAAGGATATTTTTTCAAACAGAACTGTTTCCTAAGAAGGTTATAAGAAGTCAAGTATGTTGTTGAGAAATGCTTAGGAAACAAATTAGCCTGATAGGCTAACTCTTCTTCAGGTTCTGTAAACAAGGTAAATACCGGTAAATCGTGGCGTCCTGGTGCTCGCCATGATTGAGTGTGAGCAAGAATACATCGGGCGAAGACTCCCCGCTCTCGCGCGATTCGCGGCCTTCCTTTGCCTCCTTCGCTTCCCGAGCCTCGCTCGCCCGCTTCTCCACAGCCATTTGTCTCTGCAATAGGTCATTGATCGATTTAAATTCGTCACACAATATTGCCCCGTAGTGTGTATTTAGAATAAAGGAAAGAACCGTCGTGTCGGTTCCATTTCAAATTTGTTCAGTGCCAATATCGTCAGCGTCAGCAACCTTTTCGATGACGGCCTTCTCGTGCACCTTGCGGGCATAGTCGCTCTTCTCGCGGGCCAGCATTCCGGCGGAGGCAGTGGGGGCGGTATGGGCGACGTGCGCGGCGCGTGTCTACGGCGCGGCGCTGACGACGCAGTGGCCGCGCCGCCGCCCGCGCCGCCTTATAGCGCCACGCCAGGACGCGCATGGCGTGGCGCCACCCGACACCGCTCCCCGGATCGCTTTCAGCCCATTGTCCCGGCCCGCACTCTCCGGTGCCCTCCACTTTACAAGCCATTACAATGCATTCTACCGAACTACTTAACAAATAAAACTTTACTTAGAAATGTAAACTCCTATATCAATTCGATACTACTTATCTTACAAGTGTGTGCTTTATATTGCATCCCAATCCCGATATACCAGTAACTGTTACCTAAACGTAGAAAAGCGTAATATTAAATTATACGAAATTTTGATATAATATGTATGTAAGGTTAAAAGATTTTATGAATGTGTTTACTATTGTATTACAATAATGATAATTTAACTCTTTGTTACCGATACCTTGATTATATTTGAGCTCTCGTATACAGTATATTATTTTATTTATGCTCATAAAGATACTTGTTTTCTTTTTTTTTACATGAAATGTTGCCAAGCGAGCCATGTGAATGCCGCCGCCCATGGACATCCACTACACCCGAGGGTTGCAGATGCAACCCTCGGGTGTAGCGGCTCCGGCTACCTCACTCACCAGACGAAACGCGAAAGTATAATACTTCAACTTTACGCCGGTCTTCTATGAGATCGTGGTACTTACCCGGACGAGCCTGCCCATTCGTGCAACAACCGAGGCTGCTGCGTGGCCCTACTACCGTTTACACACTTTTTACTCATAAATAATTTTAATACACATAAAGAATTTCCAACGTACAAAGCTAAGCTAATTGCTAACTACCTCACCCTGTTTCACTTTATTGAGTAACTAGGCTTTCAGAAACTGACTACGACAAAGTAAAGAGGAAAGTTATAATTTGAACTGGTATGTATGCATGTGTGCAACGCCGTTCAGCTCACTCGTTCAATTAATTAATTAATTAGGTGAATGTGTAGCTGACCAGCCAAGAGGCTTGTTTTTTCTCTCAAGATTTTTCTCTCTCTAGATTTGCTTTTCTCAACAGTTTTCAAGAGTTGTACAATTCCTTTTCAGGAATATGACAGAGATTTTCAGCGCAATCGAAATCGTAAGCCGCTTCCTAGCGAGACGAGTACAAGTGAAGTGATGTAACAAAATAATGGTCACGAAATTTTTCGAAATTACTGCCTTTTTGGATAATTATTGACAAATTTCCAGAAGAAATTAAAATTGTAGTCTATAGTATGACGGGTGCTACGATAGGGGCGGCTGGAACTTAATACACGGGCTGGGGCCTAGGTCGGCCGAGACTGCAAATCCGCCACTGCTACGGTGAGGTTGGAAGAACATGTCAATGAAGTTGTTTATATTTGACTTTGATTTTTAAAACCACCTTCCTGCCCCACATCAACCCGTCAAAGCAAAAGTTATACAAAACATGCAGCGAAAAATAACGAACAATTTCCAGGGACCAGATCTTGTTCACTACTCCAAATATTAAATTTGTCACTACTAAGTGTATAGGCCTATACTGAACTGCTACGTTAACCATCTTCGACTAGGTATATCTCTGTTAGTTCGTACCATCAGACGGGATGGAAGTATTTAAATTAGTCAATTCTTGATTAAAGTGAATACATTACCGTAAAATAAATTTCACATCTATACAAATTTAATATATATACGCAATGAATAAATAAATATCAGCAATGAATTCAAACATTAATAGATAAGATAACCTAAATTTATTTTTAACTTATTAATTATTGTTATAGCACAGCTTGGCCCTTATTCAAGTTGTAATCTTATAAAATGGAACATTTATAATAATCACATTATATTCAACTTCTAGAGTAACAATTGTGACGTACCTTTGTGTTAGTAAAGGCAACAATTCGAGACAAACACGAGAACATTATAATGAACTCGAATGTCCCTAACTACACTTGCACCCGTAGAAGTAGAAGTAAGAGCGCTAGCTAATGATCCTACGGCGGAAACGCTCCAAATAAAATTCAATTAAATTCATACTTAACGGTTATTACTAAGCAGATATTGAAATCTGATTGTGAATAATGCCTTTAACAAACCAAATTAAGCAAAATGATCTGTTTGTATGTCTAAAGATTCTTCCAGTTAGTCTAAAATAAAGTAAAATCTTTGTGATAAGCATGATTATTAAATATGATAAGATTGAACCAAGAAATGTTACTATCATCACTTAAGATATTTTTGTTAGACGTATTAGATCTATAATTCGGTCTTTAACAGCTTATTGTACAGCTACTTTAGAGGTTCCAGTTCGTTGAAAATAATAATGGATATTGTAACGCACTAGTGTCTAGCCGTTCTTCCTTGGAACTGTATGAACGAAGTTTGTACGATTTTATGACTAAATAAAAATGTCATATATTCATTAAGACTGCAAGACATGCGAAACTATGCTGTATCAGTTCTAGAACTACCTTTCATAAATTGAAATTGGTGCTGGTTTAAAATTTTATATTTATTCATTTGAACTATCATTTGTTCCAGCATTATTTTCTCAAATACTTAAGGCTGGCAAGATAGAAATGGGATGATGATTAAAAGACCTCATTTACATACCTACCGGCACTATATTTCATTAACTTGGACAAAAAGTAAGTTGTTAGTAAAAGGTGTGAGCTTGTTGCTCATTTGGCCATTCCAGGCGCTACAGGCGCATTTATACAGAATTATGATGTATTTCAGTAGAAGAATGCTATGTTACAATCTTACAGAAACACGGTAAACCTTGTTACCTCGAACGATGACCGTGCCCTGAATCACAAGCGGTGAAACAATGCAAAAAAAAATGGACGATGAATGGAGAAGATTAGCCACACTTAAAGACAAAGTAAATCGTTAAAAAACAATTACTATGAAAGATGATTTTAGAACATTTGCCAATATTGAAATAAACGCGCACGGTTATTTAGTAGTTTTACTACTATACCACTACAGTGAGTTATACATTAATAATGTACTCTTGGGAGTTAAAGATGTGATGTCGTTCATCAGTATTGTGTTTCGATAATATTTTATGAGGAATATGGTATATAACTAAGCAAATATCATTCGAAACATGTACTGTATAACTGCAAACATAATCATATTCCATTTCACACACCAAAAGGGTGGTATTCTGCCAATGTTTGCAAGTGCATATAACTCAAATCTCTTTAAAACACTTGTGGACAAGCTGTTTCTGGGTAAGCTCACTTCAAAAAAATACTATGATTTACGATCAAATGTTTCTATTAATGTAGGTTAGCCCCAGTAAATAATGTAGCACGTGAAAAGTGTTTGTCCAGAGAAGAAAATTCTGTTCCATTTCCATCTGCTGCGTAAAAATACCGATTGCTATTAGTCGAACAACCTTTGATATACCAATCAAAAACTCCAAGCACTTCTCAATAATTTTTTTATGTGACAAAGTGCCAAGCCAGCTGGCGGATGGCAATGATGTTAAGTGATAACCGTGGACAATTGCAACACCCGTAGGGTTGCAACCTTTCAACAAAGTGAGCCTCGGCTACCTCACTCACCAGACGAAACACAGAAGTGACTAACACTTCTACTTCACGCCGGCCTTCTGTGAGGTCGTGATACTAATCCGGACGGACCTGCCCATTCGTGCAACAGGGAACACTGTTGCGTGTTCCTACTACGATATCCTTCATAATGCGCTTTAGCGGTTTTTATCATAATTTCAAGATGATGAAACACACATGAAATTAATATCAGTGGTGTGGAATATTTTAATAACCAGGACTGTTATCTAAATGTTGTTTGAAGTAAGATATTTGTAAATATTAATTAATGAAAACTAATTCGAACGCGACGACCAAGACACAGCGCCAACGCGCGTAGTTTCGGTTCTCTTCCAACTCCACACGTTGAACAGAGAGCGCGTTGCTAGATGGACCTATGCCGCTCATCTTTCGCTCACCGTTACGAAATATCCGTATTTATTTATTATTGAGAGTTATAATTTTATTAGACCTTCAAAAACACGAAACTAAAAATATACGAGTATATTCACATACTTCGTATTTATAAATTATTTGTATGTATTAACAGTTGTTAAATAATTTATTTAAAGCGAAATTCTATGTCTTTTTCTATGTCTTATCTTGTAATTAATTGGTCTATCAGTCCTATACAATGTATCTTTCTTATTTGATTGGGTTCAAATCCCTAAATTTCTGTGTTACTTATACTTTTTATTGGTTTTCTTTTTTGGAAGTATTTTTTTAATCACCATTAAATTTTTGTTGACTTTTTTATTTTCATAAATAGTTACAACGAAATATTATTGTATTCGTTCAAAGTTGAATAAAAAGGTGGTGAACAATCTATCAGTAAATAAACCAACCTTTAGTATTTCAATTTTTAACGTCATATATTTTTTTTATTAAAATATTTAATTTTTCACCCTTAAACGAAAATTTATATTTTACACGAAAAACAATTGTTTTATGATTTTTTCATTAATTTGTTTATTTCCCACATATTATGTTAATAAAATAAAAACAAAATAATTAATTGATTAACAAATTAAAAGTGAAAATAATATAAAAAATACAACACATATGACGAACGGACCAATAGTCTACTAATATGTCTGTGGAAAGTGACAAATTTCGATTCTAGTTATAATTGCTGTCGTTTATCGATATAAGTATTTTATCGATAATTTATTTAAATTTCAGTTTAGTTGAGAAATTAATATAGTGTAGTAAGTCTTGAACATTTAAAGGATAAATTAAAATTCCTAATATATCAAAAAAATATATAATAATAAAAAAGTTTTCGTATTCCTAATTTCTGCAAAATTTTTATGAGCCATCTCCTTAAAACCTTTTGTGGTTTTAAAAAGCGAGCGAGCGTGTGCAAAAAATAAATCATTATTCAATTATTATTGTTTTTTAATTTGCCTTTATAAATTAATTTGACTAGATGTATTTTGAATCAATTCGTTTTAAAATTAACAGAAAGAAGATTTTCTAAAATTGATGATTGCTTTCTCATACTTTATATTTGTTTGTTTATTTATTTATTATTCCTATAATAATATAAAAGTAAAATACAATCATGGCTTATAAAAGATACAGGGATCATTTGTGTACATTTTC